TTCTGGCTGCGAAAAGGACACGTTGTGGAATAAGAGTTATTTGTAGCAGTATAACGGTTGGAGCTTGATGATGATCTCCACCTTTCTTCCCCATCTAACAGCACTCATAAGTTGGAAGGGATTATTGTATAGCTGAGCAGTGTTAGTAGCCTCAAGGAATTCTACTTGATAATATTAAGTTGAAGGTGTGGGATGGAGGAGAATCGACTCTGGTCTGACTATGTGGTGGCAGAAACTATAGTGTTTGAAAGGATGAATTTCCAATCTTGTTTTCGTTGGCTGTGGATAAAAATGAATCCTTAAGAAGTGTGGTTGATAAGAGAAGTGAAGTGGGTGGATGGGTTCCTTTGAGTTTAGAAGGGGCTAATATGAGTGGGAAAACAAGAGTTTGAATAAGGCTTTTGAATATCTGAGGGGTGGCCCCTGTTCAGTGTTGCAGAGGTGTTGATAGGCCTACATGGTTAGCTTCATCTGTGGTTATTCACAGTGGCAGATTTGTACACAGAGGGGCGTGGATAAGTATGGTGGCCACCGATGAGGCATTAACCAAATTTGATTTTGGCTTAATTATATACCTCCTAACGTACAGTTTTGGTTGGTTTGCCAATGGATAGACAAGACCTAAGTCTAGGAATTTTTCAAAAACTGGGGTGAATTAACTCTAAGTGATCTATTTTTGCTTGTGTTTTTGTGGCAGCTGCCACTGAATCTGTGGCTCATGTTTTAATGCTGGGTGCCCCTTTTGGTGGAGGGTTTGGTCTGAAATGTTGGTTTGGTGGGGTATCCCATAGCGGCCATTTTCCAGCTCGTGAGTGTTTATGCGCTGGTAGGGCAAGGGAGAAATTAAAGACGAAGGAAAGGAAAATCTGGAGGTGATTCCATTGTCAGTGATTGTGGTTCTGTGTGGAAGGTGTAAGGAATGAGGTGTTGTATTCAGAAAATCTACCCCAAATCTGGAGACCTCTGTGAGTTTAATAAAATATAGGTTGCATTTTGGTTGACGTAACATGTCTTCTGTGAGGTTCAAATTTTTTCAGTCCGGATTTTCGTGTTTAATCTGAGGCAAGTAGGGAGTGCTTAGGGGGGTGTGGAGGTAAAAGGTACTGAGCTGTGGTTTCTGTATCTGTTAGGCTTCTGCCTGCTTGTGGCTGGATTGGTGTTTTGTTATGTTGTTGAGTTGCGTAATAGGTCTTGATTGGGGTATTGTTTTGGTGTGGGAAAATTTCTATTGTCGTCTGCAGTGAGTGCTGCATCTGATAGGTCCACTGTGTTTGCTGTTTTGCTGTGTAAATTGTTTCGCTGATTTGTGTGTTGCTGAATATGAGTCAATAAAATGATTGTTTTTGAAGTGTTGCCTGAAGTCTGTTCTATTTTGCGTGTTGCTGTTGGGATGAGCAATATTCAGTATTTTGTTGCCTTTAGGGCATGCTGATATTCCTGAAACAAAGTGGGCATGTGTCAAGTGGGAGCTCATTGCCTGATGTGGGAAGTTCTTAGTTGTGGGAGTCTGTAACTGAGTGTGGGAATCCGTATTTGTTTTCTTTCTCTTGTTATTCGTTCTTGTTCCTGTGTTGGCTTTGGTTCTTAGAACTCAGCTGGCGCTTGGAGCTTTGCTTAGCTCTAAGCTCCTCTTCTATTGATGTACTCTTCCATACCGTTTGTATGTTATTGAATGTCTATTCCATACGTTGTACTTTTCATCAAATAAGTGGATTTTTTTCGGGCCGAATCACAAAAAAAAAAAAATGGAACATTAAAGTTAATTAAAAATACATGTTCTGTTTATTCAAACAAATTTTTCACAATGTGATAACTCGCACAAATCTTATCGCGGTCATTATCAAGTTTTTGCATATAATATTCAACTGTTCCAATTAACAACCATGACAAAATTTTCATAAAGAGCATAAAAAGTATTTATAATCACAAAAATAATCTCAATTATATTTTCCAAATTAAATATCATAAAACCTAAAATTTACAAAAACAAAGCTAATCTTAAATAGATAATAATATTATTGAAACCCACCCCATTTAATGCAAAAACTATATGAATGTAACCAACATAGTTCTCTTGTGTTATATATAGGCCTCATTTTGGCACTTGGACTTTTTTGGTTTTGTTTTTAATTTTTAATTTTTTAAGTTATATCATTTTTATATTTTTTATATATATATATTATTTTTTATAATCAAAAAAAATCAAAAAATCATTTTTTATAAATTACTTCTCAAACAACCTTAAATAACAATCTATGCAGTGTATATGCAAAAGCTTGTCCTAACGGATTTGAGGTGGCTGATGTGCGTGGTACACAGTAGCCACTATTATGCAATTAAATATCATTTTGGGGCTCATTTTAATAATCTGAACTTTATATTTTAGAATACATAAGTAGAATATGTCTGTAAAAAATCAAATTAATCGGATATCATTACCCATGCATCCACTACACTATTTGTTATTTACAAAAATAAATAACAATTGGTGATTTAAAGTATTAAAATGAATATAAATGTGAGTGGATGAAAGAGTAAATAATACTCATTATTAATTTTTTACAAGATATGTTCTACTTGATATATTTCAAAGAATGTGTAACGATTTGAATTAGTCGAAATGCCATGAAATGTAGTCTATTAACTATATAAGCACGTGATTGTGTGCAACCCATCATCCAACCCACCCAAACCTAAGTCTAACATACTTGGTTGGATTGGATTGGATTATACAGATGGCAAGCATCCTGTGGATCTATGGCTGATAATTATGGTTGGGTCTCGTCCCAGGATTTGGACTATTCTTACCTCCGCAACACTGCAAAGACTAGACTTTTGCTATGTATCCTGATCTAACATACTTGGTTGGATTGGATTGGATTATACAGATGGCAAGCATCCTGTGGATCTATGGCTGATAATTATGGTTGGGTCCTGTCCCAGGATTTGGACTATTCTTACCTCCGCAACACTGCAAAGACTAGACTTTTGCTATGTATCCTAATATAACGTACATGGATTGGATTGGATTGAATTGGATTGGATTGTACAGATGGCAAGCATCCTATGGATCTATGGCTGATAATTATGGTTGGGTCCTGTCCCAGGATTTGGACTATTCTTGCCTCCACAACACTGCAAAGACTAGACTTTTGCTATGTATCCTAATATAACGTACATGGATTGGATTGGATTGAATTGGATTGGATTGTACATATGGCAAGCATCCTGTGGATCTATGGCTGATAATTATGGTTGGGTCCTGTCCCAGGATTTGGACTATTCTTGCCTCCACAACACTGCAAAGACTAGACTTTTGCTATGTTTGGGATACTAGTTTGGATTAAAATAGGTATATAAAATAAATTTGATTATTTTAGTTTAATAAAATAAAATGTTACATTTAATTTATAATCATTTTATTTTTTCTTTTACCAAAAGTTAAAAAAATTAAAAAAATCTATTCCAAGCTTTTTAACCTCAAGTTAAAATAGTAAAAAAGTCAACTCACATCCAAACCAACACTTTGGTAGTTGACCTCAAGTAAACATCTACACCAATGTCGAACGCTAATAAAAAAATGAGACATTTACACACAAGTTCTAATTTATGAACTTATATTCCATTAAATTCTAATTAAGATTTTTTAGACTTTCAAATCCCATTAAATTTTTAATAGTTGGAATTATTCTTCAAACAATGATTGTTTATCATTTATGATTATCTACAAAAGAACATGATGATTTGACATTTATTTTGATCTTCAAAACTTTAAAATATCAACTTTCAAATTGAAAAAAAAGAAAAAATTTATGTGCAAAAAAAAAAAACTAATTGTTTTTTGTAAAATTAAAAATTTTGTGTCTATAAAGGAACATGATGAAATATTGATGTGCAAAACTTTAAAAAATAAAAATAAAAATGAAAAAATTGATAATTTTCTCAGTTTTAAAATTGAAAAAAACTGTTAATGTTCTCGATTTTATTAGATAGTTGAATCAAACCAATAAGTAGAACGGCAAAAACCTTTAATCTCATGTTCTGTTTTTTTATCAGTTAGTGAAACAATTATTTGGAACATTAGTATGCAAAATTGATAATGTTCATAGTTTTAAAAATTGGAAACAACCGATAATATTCTCAGTTTTGCTAAATAGGACTCATTGGTTTAAAGAATCTTAAATAGAACCTAAGCTACCATAACATTTGTAAATAGGACTTTAGGAAATTAACTTTAAATAAATTTTGAAATTTGACATAAACTAACTCTACAAGAATTAACACTTTTGCCGACCAAAAAATTGGTCGCTAAAAGCCCATTTTTAGTCGGCAAAAGTCATCCGCGACCAATTTTTTTGGTCGCTACTTTGGTCGCCAATTGAGGGTCGGGAAAAGTAATTTGCGACCAAAATTTTGGTTGGTCGGGAAAAGTTGGAATTGCCGACTAAATTGTTGGTCGCTAAATATATCATTACTGTGACTAATCCATTTTGTTGCTAAAACATTTTGGTCGCGAAAAGTGATATTTTGCCGACCATATATCTTAGTCGCCAATTGTCACATTCCACGACCAAACAGATTAGTCTCCAAAAGTCAAGGAATCGCCGACTAACAATTTAGTCGCCAAAAAATAAGAAATTACCGACCAATGATTTTAGTCGCAAAAGTGTAGAATTTGCCAACTAATTTTTTAGTCGCCAAATCTCTTTTTTTTTCGTTTTTTTTTTTTTTTGGAGAACAATCAGTTTTTGTTTATAAAACTTTAATCCAATATTAAGCAGAAAAGGAAGCAAGGGTATTCCATGGTATTCCATTCTATCCAATAAACATGTCATGAAATATAAACATGGTATTCCATGGTATTCCAATAAACATATCTAGTCGACTAATTTTTCAATAAACATATATTCCAATAAACATATAAAACGTATTCCAATAAACATATTCCAATAAACATATCCAATAAACATGGTATTCCATGGTATTCCAGTCGACTAATTTTTTGTATGCCTCAATAGAAAATGTCATGAAATATATATATATATATATATATATATTTGAGGTACTTTTGAGCATGAGAACCCAAATTAGTACCAAACTCAAGACCTGACCTACAATATTTAAACACAATATGTATGCAGAAAGTCAGACTTACAAGCAAATTAGAAGAAACGTAGATCTAACAGTCAGATTACTATTACTACATTCCATATTCCTACTACATATGTATAACTTGAAATCACCATTAAACATCATCGTCATCAAGCCCTAACCTTGACCGACTTGGATGAGTTCCTCTTTGCAGGGGGTCGAAACTTTCTTCTTCTTCTTCTTCAAAGCCTTTGGAGTTTTGACTTGGCTCAGCCTCTTCGTCTTCTCTCCGTTTTTCACAACAGCTTTGTTTGTTTTCTCGAATTCTTTGATAGAAGCAGCAGCAGCAGCAGTAACCAATTTCACGTTCTCAGATGTAGACACCTCGTACGAGTTTTTGATTTTGACAAGTTTCTCCGATTTCACAAACTTCTTCAATTGAATCAACAACATTTTCTTGAAATTTGGAGGAAGCAGAGAGCTGTACTTTTCTTCCATGAATTTCGCGATCGCTGGTTGGCTCGAACCTGTGCGATCCTTCAATGACGATATTGCTTCGCTTATCATCTGCATCAAACAACAACAACAAAAATTTAAAAAATGTTTTCACTATAGATCCACAAGAACTAAAAGTAGAGAGAGAGAGAGAGAGAGAGAGAGAGAGAGAGAATGAGAGGACCTGTAAGTAAGGAGGATGGAGAGTTGAAGATGGATTGGTGGTGGTGGTGGTTTTGCCTGAGACAGCCAAAGATTAGTAGCTTAGTTTTGCCAATTCTTTGGAAGAAGTCTTTTGTTTTGGGATTGATAGAGGAAGTGGAGTCCCGCGCTCTGTTTATGAAGACTTTTAAGTTTGAAATTTCAATTTCAAAATTTATGTTTTGGCGGAATTTTTTTTCATGTTTCCAATAATCCAACTGCCTAAATGATTTCAAGCCTAAATCATTTGATTGGATTAGTCTTTGTCTAGTTGAAAAGCACAAATACAGATTTTATTTTATTTTTAAACAATAAAAATATTTTTTATTTGGTTGCTGAAAATAAGTTTTTGGCGACCAAAATTTTGGTCGCCAAAGATAAAAAATAATTTTTTATTTTTCATTCGGTGACTAAATAGTTTTAGTAGCCGAAACTCAATATACGGCGACTAAAATATTTTTTGTCGCTAAAAATAAATTTTTGACGACCAAACTTTTGGTCGCCAATTTCACAACCAACTTATTTTTTATCATCCGCGACCAACTTATTTTTTGGTCTCCAAAATGTGACCTTCCGCGACCAAATTTGTAGTTGGTCGCCAAAACCATAACACTTTCTGCGACCAACTCATTTTTTAGTCGCCAAAATATGACCTTCTGTGACCAACTCATATTTGGTCGCCAAAAATAATAATCATTCGCGACTAATTAATATTTGGTCGCCAAAAGGTAACTTTTACCTACCAACTTTATATTAGTCGCGGAAAGTGGTCACTAAAAGTACAGATTCATGTAGTGTAAATAAGTACACTTATTTAGATAAATATAACAATGTAGGTCACATCACCTTTTTATATTTTTAATACATACTTTTATAAAAAGTTTAAAAAAATTTATTTATTTAAATAATCCAAAATAATTATTATATTTATAAAATTTCTCATTGATTAATAATTATTTATTTAAATATATATTGAATTTTTTTAACAAAAAAATGAATGCGAGAAGACTCTCCATGGTAGCCCACTCCACTCAAGGCCGGCCCTGGCCTAAGGCCAGTAAGGCCTGTGCCTTAGGCTCCAAAATTTTGGCCTAAAAATAGGGCCCCAAATTTAATAAAATGTTAAAGATTCAATATGTGTTTTTTTTTTTAAGGATCAATTTAAAGGGCCCCAAAATATTTTATTGGGTCCATGTATGGTTTAGGCCATATTTATTTATAAGTGTAGTTTGGCCCATATTTATTGAAATGAAAATATATATTAAAAAAAAAAAGCGTTTGGGCCCAAGAAGAACAATACACACAACACATGGGCCCCATTTTTTTTTTTTACCTTCTTTATCTATTAGATTTTAGTGGAATAAATAATTTTGCCCACAATATATGGGCCATAATTATTATTTTTTTTAACCTTCTTTATCTATTAGATTTTAGTGGAATAAATAATTTTGCCCCAATTTTTTTACCTAAATCTTTATCAATTTTAATTGAATAATTTTTTCCTAATTTTTTTGCCCTAATTTTGTTTCATTAACTTGTTTTGTTTATAATTTTAATGATTATATGTGCAAGTAAATTTTTTTGTGGCTATAAACAAATAAAAAGTTGCAACTTATCGTTTTATCCATGAACTTTTTTTTTTTTTTTTAATGTAAGAGGGCCCCCATTTCCGAAATTCCCCTTAGGCCTCCTAAATCTCAAGCCGGCCCTGACTTCACTCCAGAGGATCCAAACATGAGAAATTTTGAGGAATGTAGTAGAAAACACAATTGTTGTGTCTTTTTTTCTTTTACCTTTTTTTCAGAATTGATTTTTATTTAGGGTTATTTATACAGAGATTTCTTAAATTATTAAGATATATCACTTTAACTTTCTAAATTTTAAAAGCGTACAAATGATCCTTCTAAATTATTGAGAAGTATTGCTTTATTTCCGTAAACTATAAAAACATACACATAAACCCTCTAGACTATTGATGTATTTTACTTTGATGTAATGGATTTTGAATATTGCGTTGGAAAAAGGTATTGTTTTGAGAAAGGAAATGATTTTGTGAAACAAGATCATATTGATTTTTTTTTTCGGTAAATACGTTGGTAAGTCCGGATAGAGGGTGTAGTTGGTATTGGTTAAGTTGGCCTGAGTGTCCATGGTGAAAGATCAGAAACACGCGCGGAGGAGGTACTATGTGCCTTCCGGTTAGCTACTAGTAAACTGGGGATTGGTAGTGCTTGTTATGTCTACTTGCAAATACCAACCTAGGGATTACCTGAGTTATATTTACCGTTCCTTTGAACTACATTAAAATGATTGAATTGTTAAATTTTCATGATTACATTGTGCGCAAAGGTTTCAAAAGATGAAGATATATGCTTTTGAACATGGGATGACATATGTATTCATCCCATGAGATTGTATAAAATGTATATACTTTGTTAAGATTTTTTCTACTAAGCTTTGTGCTCACCCTATGGGATTTTGTGCAGGAAATGATGTGGTGATCCTGTCAAGTTAGAGGCGCGGAATATGTTTTCAGAGCATAATGCTATTTTCTTTGTTGTAATTATTTTTGACAAGCTAAGGGCTTTATATGTTTGGGTTCGAAGCCACCTTTGTGTAACTAGGTTTAAGCCTTGGAATTTGTAACCCTTGAGGGCATTTATTTGCACTTGACTTGTTATGCCACATGTTAGAGATTCATATACTAGGGATGTTGAATGTATAATTACATGTGGAACATTCTTTTGTAAATCTCTTGGTGATTATGAATACAAATGTTGGAGATTTGAGAATGATGTTAATATTGAGACTTACTTGTGTTTACATTAAACAATGGAAGTTGGTGAATCTTTGTTGTGTTAATTTTCGAGGCGTGACACCTGTGGTGGCGGTGGGGGACAATAGAGTGAAGAGAAAAAAAGACTCGTAGACTGATCGCGCCACTACCTTCATTTCTCTCAACAGATTGGCGGAGATCAAAGTTTCAATTCCAGCGACCAGATCGCTGCCACCTCACGGAGGACCTTAGCAAGGACTTCTGAGTGAGTATTGAGGAATGCTTCGATGGTTATTTGAAACCTCGGATCTACTCGATGGTAATTAGCATTTTGAAAACCCTAGAGATGGAAGAGAAATGAGAGAGAGTTTGAGAAATAAAAACCTGAGAGAGACGAAGGTGGTGAATTGGTATTGTAGTCATTTTGCGATAGCTTATCGTTATGGACATAATAAACTAGCGCTTGGACCTTTTGGCAATGAAAATTTAATATTGGATTTTTCATCCGAGTGCCTTAATTTTAAAAATTATAAGTAAACGTTTGAATCTTTCTTAATTTTGATTAAAAAATTAAGTAAAATGTTTGATTTTTAATTTAAAATGCAATTTTAAAGTTTTTTAAAAATATTTTTTTTGTATTTTTTATTTTTAATAAAAATTTTCATATTATAGTCAAAAAATTTAAATTTTTAGATGCACACCTAAAATTTGACTCCGTTTGGTTTACTTTTCAAATCACAATTTGACAGCTCAAAACCCAAATATTTATTTAGTTTTGGGTTTTCAAACCTATATTTAACTCAACCATTTGAAAACTCTTATCAAAACTCATAACCAAACAAATTTTAAATTTTCAAACATTTTTCAAAATTCATAACCAAACAAATTTTAAATTTGACATTGTTTGGTTTGTGTTTTGAGATATTATTTCAAAAATAATTTTTTTGGAGAGAGTTTAAAAAAATTAAAAATTTGTTTGATTGCATATTTTAAAAATAGTTTTGGAGTTTGAGATGATTTAATTTAATTTAATTTTTTTTGGTAGTTGAATAGATAATTGTGAGAGAAAAAGTGATTGAGAAAGAGAAGAGAGAGAAAAAAAATGATTGACTGATGTATAATAGAAAGAAAAGTGATTTTAGAACTTTTTTTTCTAAAAGTTTTCCTAAGTATTGGCCAAATAATTTGTTATGTTTTGAATATATACGGGCGATTCAAAAATATACATAAACATTAAACAAAATGCGAGAAAATGAAAAACAAGTGTAATAAATATGAAACTTTTTAAATGTATGTAAATTGAGTTGATACAAATTAGAAAAGCAATTTTAAAATTTTAAAAACGTTCTTACGAACTAATATATATATATATATATATGAAATTATATCCTATAGATTATGTGCTCGTTTGGCATATGCATTTGGGTGAGATTGGGCTATTTTAGTTACAGTATATATATACTTTTTAGTTCCAGGCTAAAAGTTGTCACATCCAAACCATAATTATTATATTTTTTTCTCACAAAAGTCAAAAAAGCCAAAAAGCTCATCCAAGCTAAAATAGCCAAAAAACTAAAGCTAAAAAGCCAACCCACATCCCAACTGAAGTATATATTAGATCTATTTACAAAGTATATTTAGATTACGTTTGTAAAAGTAAACAAAATAAAAATAAAAATATACAATGATCAAAAATAAAAATAAAAATAAAATTGACTATAATATTGTAAAAAGTTTTGACTATGTATGTAAAAGAAGTAAACAAAATTGACTATAATATTGCCCAAAAAAAAAAATGACTACAAGACAAAAAAACACAATCCAAGCATTTAATAAAAAATAATCATCTGTTAAATTCAAATAATTAACCACATTAATCTTCTCTTTTTGATTTTTTTACATTCATTTTTCAAATAATTCACCAAATCATTCATCTATTAATTTTAAATCATCATCATTGAGTTTTATTGGTAACTTTTAAATTCAAGTGAAAGTTTTATTTTTTATTGTTTATGAACTAGTATAATAAATAAAAAAATTTTGAGACCCTTTTTTTTTTGGGACCAATTTTGGGGGCCCAAAGCAGCCTCTGTGAGCTTTGCATACACTCGACACTATGCAGTGACACTACAAGAAATGTCACTTTTGGCTACTAAAATATTGGTCGCCAAAAGTCCAATATTTGGTAGCTGAAACGATTTAGCGACTAAAATATTTTGTCGCCAAACTCGTCGCCTATATCCTGTCGGTGATAGTATTGGCGACTAAACTTTGTTTGGTGCCGAAAGTGACTACATTTCGCTACTAAATTTGTTTAGTCCGCAAATGTTATGTTTCCGCCACTAAAACCTTTAGTCGCCGAATGAGACTTTTGGCTACTAAAGTTCGTATGGTCGGGGAAGGT